CCTGCTCTGGGAAAAAGCTTCTTGCTATCCACCCTGTCTATACCTCTCATGATTTTGCAGACCTCAATCAGGTCCCCCCTCAACCTCCGTCTTTCTAATGTAAATAATCCTAATCTACTCAACCTCTCTTCATAGCTAGCACCCTCCATACCAGGCAACATCCTGGTGAACCTGTTCTGCACCCTCTCCAAAGCATCCACATCCTTTTGGTAATGTGGCGACCAGAACTGTACGCAGTATTCCAAATGTGGTCGAACCAAAGTCCTATACAACTGTAACATGACCTGGCAACTCTTGTACTCAATATCCCGTCCAATGAATGAAAGCATGCCATATGCCTTCTTGACCACTCTATCGACCTGCATTGCCACCTTCAGGGTACAATGGACCTGAACACCCAGATCTCTCTGTGCATCAATTTTCCCCAGGGGTTTTCCATTTACCGTATAGTTCGCTCTTGAATTGGATCTTCCAAAATGCATCACCTCGCATTTGCCTGGATTGAAATCCATTTGCCCTTTCTCCACCCAACTCTCCAATCTATCTATATTCTGCTGCATTCTCCGACAGTCCCCTTCACTATCTGCTACTCCACCAATCTTCGTGGTAGTTTGATCTTAGTAGGATAATAGGTTGGCACAACATCGTGGGCCGAAGGGCCTGTACTGTGCTGTACTATGTTCTATGTACACGCTAATGCTGTGACTGAAGCCTGGGCACATGTAGAAGGTGCAGGACATGTTGAAGAAAATTGAGCTTGTATGGACTGAGAGGTTTTACAAACACTTCGCGCATGCACACTTCAGGCGGTGAAAGGCCTGGTTGGGTGAATGACCAGCGAGACACTTTGGGAGGCTAGCATCTTTGTAGGTGGCAAGCTGCAGTGGGAAGCATGTGCAACCTTCATTGACAGGCAGTGAAAAGGGCAGGATTTACATAGAGCAAATTCAAACCAAGAGAAATGATTGTTTCTTCTGGATTCCACCTCACCCCAAGACTGACAGAGATGGTGTGCATTTCCTAGGAGAGATGTTAATCTGGCAAAGTACAGAAGGTAAGGACTGGCTTCAGGCAGCATAATTAAAAACATCCTGTCAAGATGGCAGCGAAGTAGGACGCTCCAACTAGAGCTCCTCCGCTCCTTCGGTTTATTTCCCATTTTATTCTTTTTTTAATCCCCTTTATCTCCTCCTGGTGTTCTTCCCAAGGTAAAGTGGGCTAAAGATCAGAGCAAGGCGAGTGCGGCCAGTGGGCTGGAGCGGAGTGGGAATAGCCAGTGGGCTGAAGGCCCAAGCAGAGCGGGCTGGTTGTTGGGCTGGGGCTGTTGTGAGTATCAGTAGCTTGCAAGCCCAGGCAGACCACGTGTGGAAACCCCCTGCACTGATCTACTGAAAGACTGTAATGCTTATCTTTTTAGCTTTATTCTAATTTTACTAACTTATACTGTGGATAACTGTAAGTAATGTAACATTTTTTCCCTTCTTTTTTTTCTCTTACTTCTGTATTTTGTGTCTAAGATCTGTACCTAGGTACTTTGTACCTAAGATGACACCATATGGGATAACATTGTAAACTATTCACTGTACTCCTGTACTTGAGTACATGTAACAATAAAGGACATTCTAATATTCTAATTCTACTCTAATTCTAATATACCTGATCAGGTCCCAGGGTTTTATCCATCTTTAAGCATTTTAAGATGTCCAGTAATGCCTCCTCTGCAAAATGGACACGTTTTAACATGTCACTGTGTATTTCTTCAAGTTCTCCAGCTTCCATGTCTTTCTCCACAGTAAACAATGATATGAAATGTTCATTCATTATCTTAGCCATCTCCTGTAGTTTCACACATAGATGGCCTTGTTGATCTTCAAGGGGCCCTGCTCTCTCCCTATTTACTCTTTTGCCCTTAATGTATTTGTTGAATCTCTTTGGATTCTCCTTAATACTGTCTGCCAAAGCTATCTCATGTCCCCTTTTTGCCCTCCTGATTTCCCTCCAATATACTCCTACAGCCCTTATACTCCTTGAGGGATTCACTAAATCCCAGCTGTCTATACTTGCCGTATGTCTCTTCTTTTTCTTGACCACAGCCTCAATTTCTCTAGTTATCCAGCATTCCCCAGCTTTACCCTTCACACTAACAGGAACATACTACCTCTGAACTTTTTATCTAATTTTTGAATTACACAGTTAATGCTAGGGCCCTGGGGAGTGTTGTCGAACAGAGATGCAGGTACATAGTTCCTTGAAGCAGCATCACAGGTAGACAGAGAGATGAAAAAGTCATTTGGCACGCTTGCCTTCATCAGTCAGAGCATTGAGCAGAGGAGTTGGGACATCATGTTAGAGCTGCACAAGACATTGGCAAAGACAATTTGGAGTACTGCTTACAATTCTAGTTACCCTGCTGTGGGAAAGATGTTATTAAACTTGAAGGAGTGCAATAAAGATTTAGCAGGATGTTACCGAGACTGGAAGGTTTGAGTTATAAGGAGAGGCTGGATAGGCTGAGACTTTTTCTTCTCTAGAAAGTAGGAGACTGAGGGATGAGTTTATAGGGGTTAATAAACTCATTTCGGGCACAGACAAGGCGAATAGCTGAGGTCTTATAACCAGGGTAGGGGAGTCCAAAGCTAGTGGCATCGGTATAAGGACGAGAGGGGAAAGATTTGAAAGGGACCCGCGGGCAACCTTTTAACACAGACAATAATGAGCATATAGAACAAGCTGCAAGCAGAAGTGGTGGAGGCAAGCACAATTACAGCATTTAAAGGACAACTGAACAGGTACATGGATAGCAAAGGTTTAGAGGGATATAGGCCAAACGCAGGCAAATAGGACTAGTTCAGTTTAGGAAACCTGATTGGCATGGACGAGTTGAGCCGAAGGGGTCTGTTTCTGTGCTGTACGACTCTTTAAACGGTGAAGGTAGTGGCATTGGTCGTACTTCTGAGATTACAACTCCATGTCCTCCAAGCTGCCCCTTCCTGTGTTGTTGGCTCCCACTGAACTACAAGCACTGGCTGTTAACCCTCCCTTTCTAGAAGGCTAATTGATAGATTTGAAGTTGGCTGAAAGATAGGATACTGAGACTTGATGTAGATGGGCATTTCTCAGTCTGGAGATGAGGTGGAACTGGTATTCCCACGGATCGTGTTAGGACCCTTACTTTTTCTGATTTATGTAAACAATTTGGAGATGGATGTTGGGGGCAAAACCTCTAAATAAGCAGAAGATACTAAGCTAGGATGAATAGTGAATTGTGAGGATGATGCTGAGCGACTTCAGAGAGATATTGACAAGATAGCCAAATGGGCAGATGCCTAGCAGATGAATTTCAATGCAGAGCAATGCATTTTGGTAGAAGAAACAAGGAGACGCAATACAGGCTCAATGGTACACTTTTGAGGGAAGTACAGGAGGAAAGAGACCTCGGGTTCAAATGCATGATTCTCTGAAGGTGGCCAGGCAAGTCGAAACAATTATTAACAAGGCTTATAAGATCCTTGGGTTTATAAGTAAAGGCACTGGGTATAAAAACAAGGAAGTGATGCTCCATCTCTACAAACTATAGGTCAGACTATATTTGGTGTACTGTGTTCCGCTCTGGTGAGTTGTGGTGAGCGAGTTGACTTCTCCCAGAATTCTCCTGAGTCACTTCTCACTACTGCTCTCTGTTCTACTTCTGTTCAATTGCAGATTTATTAATGGAAGTTAAATACCATCAGCTGCCAGGATGTGATTTGAAACACGATTTAAAGACTGTACCATTTTATTATCTGTGCCTTTGATTATGAATTAAATAGTAAAACAACAGTTTTAGAATGAGGATCGTGGAAAGAATAGCTGCACTTTTAAAAACAAATTACTGAAATTCATCATGAGCTTTGTTCAAGCAGTGGGGGAAGATGTTCGTAGACGGCACAGCACAGGTTGGGTGGGGGAGGGCTGCAGCAGGAGATTTGGTTGACCATGAATAGCAATATGATAGTCTGATTTGTGCAGTTGTGGGCAGGACATCAGCCTGCAGCAACTCTGGTTCCTGGGGAGCTGCATAACTAGCAGGAATGAAATATAGACGGAGAAGCCATCAGACTTCAGAAAAGAAAACGTCTCTCTCCCTCTCTCTTTCTGCAGGAAAAATACCTCAAGTCCAAAGGAAGCCAGTTATTTTCTACCATCAAATGCTGTAAACTGTTGCAGTTAAGTAGTAACTAAGAGACTCTGTGGTTAGTGTTCTAATTGCCCTGCGGCTCCTGTGAAGACCTGAAAGAACCTGAAGAAAAGAGCCTGAAGAACAGAGAGACGTAGCAGGCAAAAAGGGATATCTCAGTGAACTCTGTGGGCTGGTGCTATTCTGTTTTCCAGACACATTTTCCCTTGTCCCATAAAACCAATGTTATTTTGTTTATCTATGTCTGCCTGTGTGAGAGAGTAGGAGTTTTAAAAGAGACATTTAGAGCTTGAACTAGTGGACCCATATGTCGATAACTAATAGCTATTTAGTTGTGATAGAACATAGAACAGTACAGCACAGTATAGGCCCTTCAGCCCACGATGTTGTGTCGACCTATTATCCTACTAAGATCAATCTACCTTGCTTACCCTACATTTTACTATCCTCCATGTGCCTATTCAAGAGTTGCTCAGAAGTCTCTAAAGTATCTGACTCCACTACCACTGCTGCAGCGCATTCCACATGTTCACAGTAGTTCTTGTCGAGTACAGGGTTGGTCAGGGTCTTCAGTGAAATTGATTCCATCAGACGGGTAACTCGGGTAACTTTTATTAAATCATTAACTTTTATGGTGACTACAAGTAGAGCTTGAGACTCAGTGCACTTTCCCAATGGGTCTTCTTAATGGGTTCCTACAGCATTAGCCTGGACCTCCAGATTACTACTCTAGTGAAATCACTAATACACAATCCCGATAGTGAGGGCTAAAGAGAGTATTAGAATTATAACAGCAAACATTTTGTAATCTTCACATTTGCACCTTAACTGTATCTGTCCTGACTGTCGGCCCAGTTTGGATTTGAAGATGTTCACAAATTCACTGTACGATATTCCTGGCTTCACCCTCGTTGCTAGAGTGTATTCATAGTGAACTTTTATTATCACGGAGTCAGCAAGCGAGCAGTCCTGATTTGATCAAGAATAATGGCGTTACAATATACCAAAATTAGGAAGCAATTCAATTTTACTGCCTCTTTTTCTGGAAAGTTGATACAATAGACTTTTCATAATTAATGTGTTTGATCAGGGCTTTGTTTCAACACCTTAAATTGTTGTATCTCAAATTTGGAGGTTTATATTGCTGTCCATCGGTAAAGAAGAATATATCTTCAAGAGGGTATGTGCATTTGAATTGGGGCAAAACTAGTGCAAACCAGTAACCAGGTGCAAACTACAGCAGCAGGGAAGTTTGACACTACATTTTCAAAAACCATGTATAGGCCATGTTACTTCAGATCATGAGAGAAAAGCTGGTAACACAAGGGCCCTGCTGGTTCTTACACTTCACTCTCTGATTACGTCACTCACTCTTTATCCTATACTGTCATTAGTCTTTGGCAGAATAAAGCACATTCAAGTGCCATCTTTGTCCAAAGGACACCAGGTTACCACCAGAGGTGAAACCAGGGTGGGGAGCAAGAGGGCCCAGGCAGGGAATATCAAAAATTGTGCTTTTGTCTTCACCTTAGAGAACTGAAAAAAACATTCCAGCAACAGCTGCAAATCAGGAGGTGGAATAGAGAGAAGAACTTGATGAAATTATTATCACTAGGGAAGGATACTGAGCAGATGGATGGAGCTGTGAGCTGACAAGTGTCCTGATCCAGATGGACATATCTTTGAATATTAAAGGTGTGGATAATGAGATTTAAGATGCATTAGTTTCTAAAATACCCTGAATTCAAGAAAGGCTCCGTTAAAAAAAGAACGTAAATATAATTGCTCTATTGTACAGGTCATTGGTGAGGCCTCTTCTGAAGTATCGTGCGCAGTTCTGGTTGCCTTGCTATAGGAAGTATATTATTAAATTGGAGAAGGTTCAGAAAAGATTTACCAGGATTTTGCTGGGAATGAAGAGTTTGAGTTATAAAAATAGGCTGGATAGGCTGGGACTTTTTCCACTGGAGCATAAGAGGTTGAGTGGTGATCTTATACAGGTTCACAAAATCTTGAGAGGTATAGATAAGGTAAATAGCAAGGATCTTTTCCCTATGGTGAGAGGAGAAAATTTTAAAAGGACATGAGCGGCAACTTTTTTACACAGAGAATGGTTTGTGTGTGGAATGAACTGCCAGAGGAACTGGTTGATGCAGGTGAAGTTACGACATTTAAAAAACATTTGGATAAGGACACGAATAGGAAAGGTTTGGAGGGATATGGGCCAAATATAGGTAAGTGGGACAAGTTTAGTTTGGAAACATGGTCAGCGTGGACTAATTGAACCAAAGGGTCTGTTTTCATGCCATAATGACTCTAATCAAGAAGGGAAGGAGGCAGAAAGCAACAAACTATAGGCCAATTGGCTTGACTGTTTTCATAGGGAGGCTGTTAGAATTAATCAGGTCATACTAGGGTACTTAGAAACACTCCATAAAAGACCAGTCATGTTTATCAGACTCTTTTAAAGAAGTAACATGATAAATGCCAGACTGCAGAGGTACTGCACTTGGATTTCTAGAGTCATTTTAAGGTGCAACATCAAATGTCATTGTGGAAAATAAAAGCTCATGGTTTCGGGGCTAATGTACGAGCAAGGATAGATTGGCTGACTGGCAGAAGAAATAATGTGCATATAAATACATCCTTATCTGACAGAAAGTGACAAATGGAGTCACACATGGATCTCTGCTAGGGTCTCAACTTTTTACAAGTTTTAATCAATGGCTTGAATGAGGGAAGTGAAAGCATGGTAGTTAAAATTCGCTACATCTGAGTTTGCAGATGGATGTAGATTGGCTGAGTGACTGGGCAAAAATCTGGCAGAAGGGGTAAAATGTGAGAAAGAGTGAAGTTGTTCACTTTGTCAGGAAGAATGAAAAAGCAGTTTTACTTAAACTGAGATCTATGTGGAATTCCAAGTTGCACAGAGATCACTATGTTCCATGTACAAGTCACAGAAAGTTAGTATGCAGGTTTGTAATCAAGATGGCTAATGCAATGCTATCCTGTATTACAAGAGGAATTAAATATGAGAATTCATTGGAAGCGGTTCAGAGTTGACCAGATTGATACCTGGAATGAGAGGGTTGTCTTATGCAGATAGGCTGCACAGTCTGGACTTATTTCCACTGTCATTTTAAAAAATAAAGGATGGTTTATTAAAGTGTGTAATATCCTAAATATTCTTGACAAGGTGGACATGGAAGGGTGTTTCCTCTTGTGGGTAAACCCAAAACTAGAAACACTAGTAGAGTAGAGACAATCCTGGTAATTATAGACCAGTGAGCCTTATTTCGGTTGTGGATAAAGGGTTGGAAAGGATTATAAGAGAATAGGGTTTATAATCATCTAGAAAGGAATAATTGATTAGGGATAGTCAACACGGTTTTGTGAAGGGTAGGTCGTGCCTCACAAACCTTATTGAGTTCTTTGAGAAGGTGACCAAACAGGTGGATGAGGGTAAAGCGGTTGATGTGGTGTATATGGATTTCAGTAAAGCATTTGATAAGGTTCCCCACTGTAGGCTATTGCAGAAAATACGGAGGCATGGGATTGAGGGTGATTTAGCGGTTTGGATCAGAAATTGACTAACTGTAAGAAGACAGAGGGTGGTGGTTGATGGGAAATGTTCATCCTGGAGTTCAGTTACTAGTGGTGTACCGCAAGGATCTGTTTTGGGGCCACTGCTGTTTGTCATTTTTATAAATGACCTGGATGAGGGCGTAGAAGGATGGGTTAGTAAATTTGCGGATGACACTAAAGTCGGTGGAGTTGTGGATAGTGCGGAAGGATGTTGCAGGTTACAGAGGGACATAGATAAGCTGCAGAGCTGGGCTGAGAGGTGGCAAATGGAGTTTAATGCAGAAAAGTGTGAGGTGATTCACTTTGGAAGGAGTAACAGGAATACAGAGTACTGGGCTAATGGTAAGATTCTTGGTAGTGTGGATGAGCAGAGAGATCTCGGTGTCCATGTGCATAGATCACTGAACGTTGCCACCCAGGTTGATAGGGTTATTAAGAAGGCGTACGGTGTGTTAGGTTTTATTGGTAGAGGGATTGAGTTTCGGAGCCAGGAGGTCATGTTGCAGCTGTACAAAACTCTGGTGCGGCCGCACTTGGAGTATTGCGTACAGTTCTGGTCGCCGCATTATAGGAAGGATGTGGAAGCATTGGAAAGGGTGCAGAGGAGATTTACCAGGATGTTGCCTGGTATGGAGGGAAGGTCTTATGAAGAAAGGCTGAGGGACTTGAAGCTGTTTTCGTTAGAGAGAAGAAGGTTAAGAGGTGACTTAATAGAGACATACAAGATGATCAGAGGATTAGATAGGGTGGACAGTGACAGCCTTTTTCCTTGGATGGTGATGGCTAGCACAAGGGGACATAGCTTTAAAATGAGGGGTGATAGATATAGGACAGATGTCAGAGGTAGGTTCTTTACTCAGAGAGTAGTAAGGGCGTGGAATGCCCTGCCTGCAACAGTAGTAGACTCGCCCACTTTAAGGGCATTTAAATGGTCATTGGATAAACATATGGATGATAATGGAATAGTGTAGGTTAGATGGGCTTCAGATTGGTTTCACAGGTCGACGCAACATCGAGGGCCGAAGGGCCTGTACTGCGCTGTAATGTTCTATGTTCTAATGTTCTATGTTCTACTGATTTACAATTAGGCCTCACCGTTTTAGGGTAGAGCAGTGGGGAATCATTTCAGGAGATTCAGACACTTTGAAGCTCTCGAACTCAGAAGGTGGTCAAAACAGGATCATTGAATAATTGTATGACGGAGGCAGATAGTCTTGTTAGACAAGGGAATCGAAGGTGATTGGGGGTAGATGGGAATGTGGAATTTGAAACACAAACAGATCAACCATGATCTTATTGAGTTGAGGAGCAATCTTGAGGGGCCAAATAGACCACTTCTGCTCCTACTTTGCATGTTTGTATGTTAGTTTGGAGGACACTGAGGGCTGGACACACAGTCTCGGAGGTGCATGCCCACCTTGTTCATTCCCTCCTTTTGCCACAAGCATTCCAAGTGACATGGGAAGGCAATGGGAACCATGGGTTGCGATCTGGTGCCGTTTAGCTACATGGCGAGGCCACCAGTGCTCTCCTCCCCACTCTGTGAAGAACTGGGGACTTAGACGTGACACTCCTGTGATCTATCTATGATAGCAGCCGCCACTAATGTACATTGAGGTCAGAAGTCGAGACCTTTTGCCACCTTGATCACTTTGGGGAAGAGCCAGAATTTTCCTGCAGAACAGATGTTGTTTATTAAACTGTTACCTTCCAAGATCCTGCTGCTGATGACAGAGTCTTTGAATGAGTTTCTCCTTCAGTTTCTGTCTGTCTGCTGGCTGGAATGTGGGGAGGGGTCTGAATAACATTTCCAGACCCTTGCTTCAGCTGCAACAAAAATAATCTTTAAATATTGAAGTCCGAGAACTTCTGGACATGGATGAAAATACTCCTATTATTGCTTTTTGAGGCATATCCCTTACCCTCCCGCCTCCGAACATTCTTTGACTTCACTTCATTTCCTGAATTAGAAATAGGACCAGAAGTAGACCATTTGGATCATCAAGCCGATTACACCACTCAATAGATCATGGCTGATATTCACCTACAAGTCCAAATTTCCATCCACTGGTAATCTCATCAAGTTTCTGTAAGCAAGATAGGAAATTTGCCTGTTCCAGCTTTAGTTATACGCATTGATGGAGCATCAACAATCCTCTGGGGTAGAGAATTCCAAAGTTTAAAACTGAATGAAGAAAGCTCTCCACATCTCAGTCTGAAATTATTGGTCACTTGTCCTGACAGTGAGCACCCACGTTCAAGATTCCCTAGACCAGAGGAAACAACCACTTAATCAAGCCTGTGCAAATCTTCTACTCCACGGTCTTCCACTCCTCTTTATGCCTCACCCAGTCCTGTCCCCACACTCAGCACTCACTCCAGTCCTGTTCCCTCTCTCAGCTCACTCTCCCACCTGTTCCTCCTTAGAATCCCAACAGTGTGGAAACAGGCCATTTGGTCCAACAAGTCCACACTAACTCTCCAAAGAGCTCACCCTTCTACCCTATCCCTGTAACCATGTATTTCCCCTGGCTAAACCACCTAACCTGCATATCCCTAGGCAATTTAGCACGGCCAATCCACCTAACCTGCACATCTTTGGACTGTGGAAGTAAACTGGAGCATCTAGAGGAAACCCACACAGACATGGTGAGAATGTGTGAACTCCATACAGCTCCCCCTCTCAGCATACTCTCCAATACTGTGCCCCACATGGAACCCACCCCTAGTCCTGTTCCCCACCTCAGCACTCTCCAATCCTGTTCCCCGTTTCCTGCCCTCTCAGCATTGCCTACCCCTCTCCATGCCCCAAGTCCTGATTCCCCACACAGAACCCTCTCCCAGTGCTGTTCACTATCTCGGCCCTCTGCCCAGTCCTGATTCCCTTCACAGCACTCTCCCCAGTTGTGTTACCCTCTTAGTACACCACATGGAAGTCTACTCTAGTCTTGTTCCCTACCTCAGTACTCTTTCCAATTCTGTCCCCACCTCCTACACACTCCGAGATGTGTTCCTCACTTCCACCCAGTTCTGATATCCCTCTCGGAACTTGGCCTCGGTCATGAACCCTCTCTCGTTACTCTTTCCAAACCTGTTTCCCCTCAGAGAATCTTCCCCTAGTCCTGTTCCATATGCAGGACTCTCTCCAATCCTGTTCCCCTCTTCCTGCACACACCTAGTCCTGTGCCTCACTAAAACAAAGAACTGCAGATGCTGGAGATCTGAAATGAAAACAGAAATTTCTGGGACCTTGGATAGTGAGGAGGCAGGAAGTAAATGAGCAAATATTTTACTTTATATGATTGCGTGGGAAGGTGCCGTAGGGGTGTGAGAGATGTTGGGAATGGAGGAAGAGAGGACCAGAGTGTCTCAGAGGGAATGGCCCCTGCAGAATGCTGACAAGGGAGGGGAGGGGAATGTGTGGCCGCTAATAGCATCCTGTTAGAGGTGACAGAAACAGCAGCTTACAATCTGTTGGATATGGATTTTGGTGGAGTAGTAAGTGAGGACCAGGGGGACCTTATCACTGTTGTGTTGGGAAGTGGGGGGATGGGATGGGAAGGGAAGGGTAGGGATGAGGGCAGAAGTGCAGGCGATGGATGAAACATGGCTAAGGACCCTGTTGACCACAGTAGCAGTGAATCCTCACTTGTGGAAAAAGACGGAGATTTCCGAGGCCCTCGTGCGGAAAGTGGCATTGTCAGAATAGATGTGACGGAGATGGAGAAACTAGGAGCATAAGATGGAGTCTGTACAGGAAACAGGGTGTGAGGACGCACCTTCGAGGTAGGTGGGAGTCAGTGATGGATATCGGTGGCTAGACTATCCCCAGAAATGGAAGCAGTGATGTTCAGGAAGGGAGGGAGGAGTCAGAGATGGATCAGGTGAAGTTTTGATTTGATTTGATTTGATTTATTATTGTCACATCTACCCGTGTACAGTGAAAAGGTTGTTTTGCATGCAGTACAGGCAGATCATACCATAAAAAGATCATAGGGTGATTGAACAGAGTGAGGAATACAAAGTTACAGTTGCAAAGAAGGTGCACAAAATGCAAGACCAAAATTAGATTTAAAATTTGAGAAGTTCATTCAGAAGTCTAACAATAGTGGGGAAGAATCTGTTCGTGAACCTGTTGGTATGTGTATTTTAGCTTTTGTATCTTCTGCCTGATGAAAGAGGTTGGAAGAGATTATAACTGATGTGGGAGGGGCCTTTCTGAGACAGCGAGAAGTGTAGATGGAGTCAGTGAATGGAAGGTTGGCTTGAATGATGGACTGGGCTGTGTTCACAACTCTCTGTAGTTTCTTACAGTCCAGGGCAGTGCATTTGCTGTAACAAATGATGCATCCAGATATAGAATGCTTTCTATGGTGCATCTGTAAATGTTAGTGACAGTCCTATGGACATGCTGAATTTCCTAAGCCTGCCTGAGAAAGAAGAGGCGTTGTTGTGCTTTCTTGATGATTGCATCAACGTGGGTGGTCCAGGACAAATTGTTGGTGATTGTCACTCCTAGGAACTTGACGCTCTCGACCATCTCTACCTCAGCTCCATAGATATAGATTGGGGCGTGCCCTCCACCTTGCTTCCTGAAGTCAATGACCGGCTCTTTCATTTTACTGATGTTGAGGGAGAGATTGTTACCTTTACACCATACCACCAAGCACTCTATCTCTTTCCTGTATTCTGTCTCATCATCATTGTTTGATACAACGGTGGTGTCATCAGCAAACTTCAGATGGAGTTTGGATGAAATCTGGCCACACAGTCATGAGTGTACAGTCAGTATAGTAAGGGGCTGAATACACATCCTTATGGGCGCCAGTGTTGAGGATTATTGTGGAGAAGGTGCTGTTGCCTATTCTCACTGATTGTGGTCTATGGATCAGGAAATCAAGAATCTAGTTGGAGATGGCAGAGCAAAGACCCAGCTCTTGGAGTTTGGAGATTAATTTGGTTGGGATTATGGTGTTCAAGATGGAGCTGTTGAGGAAAGGATGAAAACTGGAAATGAAATAGATACATTTTTCCAGTTCTTAACGAGAGAGGGAAGCAGCCCCAATTATGTCATCGATGTACCAGGGGAAGAAAGAGATGTGGGGAGGGAGTCGAGTAGGATTTGAACAAGGAATGTTCCACATACTCCACAAAGATACAGGCATAACTGGGGCTCATGCCGGTACCCAGTGTCAAACACAAAATTTGACTTTTTTCTCCTGCTACCTGCCCATTCCCCCCACCCCTGATCGCCCATCAGCACTCTGCCCAGTCCTGGCCCCCTCTTAGCACACTCCCAGTCCTGTCACCTTGTGCATACTCTCCACAGTCCTGTTCCCCATCACAGCACACCCATCAGTCCTGTTCCCCTTCATGGCACTCCTCCTAGCCCAGCTCACCTTTGGCACACTCGCCTTCTGATACTCCATCCCACTGCTCTCTCCAGTCCTGTCTCCCTGTGTGCACACTCCTCAGCCCTGTTCCCTTCTGTGCACTCTTACCAGTCCTCTTCCCTTCCCAGCATGCTTCCCAGAGCTGTGAAACCTTCCAACCCTCTCCCCAGTTCTGTTCTCAGTTTTGGCACTCTGTCCTGTCTTGTGCCCATTCTCGGCAATCTCCCCATTTCTCTTGGCCTGCTGTCCAATCCTGTTCCCCATCTCGTCACTCTCCCAGTCCTGTTCCCTTTCTTAATACTCTCTGCAGCCCTGTTCCCCCTTCCCACACAACTCACAGTCCTCTTTCCTCCTTCCTGTACTCTTCCCAGAACTGCCCTCTCTTGCTCACTCCTCAGTTCCTTCGCCTTCTCCCCAGGGACTGATGCCTCTCTTTGCATTCTCCCCGGTACTGTTCCCTCCTCCCACTCACTCACCCATCTTCTTTTACCTTCCTACTGTCCCCCGCCACAACCACCCCCACCCCCAAGCCCAGTCCTCTTCCCCTTCTCATTACACTCCCTAATCCCGTTCGCCCATCCCACAAATTTCCAATCCTGTTCCCTGATACCTGCCCTCACCCCACTTCCAATCACCTGGACAATCTATCCAGTCTTGTTCCTCCTACCTGCTCACAGCCACAAAACCGATCTCCCTCTAGACACTCTCCTGAGCACTGTTTGCCCCTCTCGGCACTTACTCTATCCTGTGGACCTTCTCAGTTCTCTTCTCATTCCCATTCACCATCTCAGTAATTGCCCCAGTCCTGCTCCCCATCCTGGCCCTCTCTCCGTTCCTGCTCCCCCTCCCGGCCCTCTCTCCGTTCCTGCTCCCCCTCCCGGCCCTCTCTCCGTTCCTGCTCCCCCTCCCGGCCCTCTCTCCGTTCCTGCTCCTCCTCCCGGCCCTCTCCCCGGTCCTGCTCCCCCTCTCGCCCTCTCCCCAGTGCTGTTCCTTATCCACCTCTTGGAACTTTCCCAAGTTTTGCTCCCATTTCATGCCCACTCAGCACTCTCCCAAGTCCTGTAACCTCTTCCTACCCTCTCTTCATACATGTTCCACCTTCCCACTCACTCCCCACTCCTGTTGTCCCTTACTATCCCATCTTCAGTCCTGTTCCCTCTCTTGTCGCCCTGCCCTGTCCTGTTGCCCCTTCATGCTTATTCCCCAGTTTTGCTCCCCCTTCGTATGCTCTCTTGAGTCTGATACCCCCTCTTGGCATTCTCCCCTACCTGGTTCCTCCTCTCTGGACTCTCCCAGTTCCTGCTTCCCTCTTGGCATGCTCTTCATTCCTGTTCTCTATCTCAGCATTCTCTCCTAACCTGGTCCCACTCTTGATTCAGTCCCCAGTCCTGCTCTCCTCTCAGTACTCTGCCCAATCCTGCTATCGGTTCCTACTCTCATCATACTCTACAGTTCTGTTCACCCAAACAGAACACTCCCCTAGTCCTACTCCCTCTTTCTGAACACTCCAAGTTCTGTTTCCATCTCTCACCATTACCCCCATCCTGTTCTCCTCCACTCTCTTCCCAGGCCCTGTTCCCTATCTCAGCAATTACCCCAATCCGGTTCTCCCTCTCAGCCCAACCCCTAATCCTGTTCCTCCTCTTAGCACTCTTTCCAAACTTATTCCCTCTCTCAGCACACTCCCCAGTCCTGTTATCCCTTACCCCTCTCGGGACTCTCCACAGTCTTTTCCCTGTTTTCATCATTTGCCCCTGTTATATTCCTTTTCTCAGTACCCTCACTAGTCCAGTTTCCTCTCTCGGCATCCCCCAGTCTTGTTCATCCTCACAAAGCCCTGCCCAATTCAGTTTCCCATCTTCTCAGTCTCCCTGGTACCCCTGACAACAAGGTGTAGAGCTGGATGAACACAGCAGGCCAAGCAGCATCAGAGGAGCAGGAAAGCTGACATTGCTAGACCCGAAACGTCAGCTTTCTTGCTCCTCCGATGCTGCTTGGCCTGCTGTGTTCATCCAGCTCTACACCTTGTTGTCTCAGATTCTCCAGCATCGGCAGTTCCTACTATCCCTGGTAGTCACTTGGGTCACTTCCCAGTACTGTTCCCTCACACAGAATCTCACTCTTCATCCTATTCTCCATCTCACACACTCTCCAATTCTGTTCCCTCTCTTGGCAATCTCCTCTGTCCTGTTTTCCATTCTCTGTCCTTTGCACAGTCCTGTTCTTGATCCCAGTCTTGGCACTTTCTACAGTTCAAGTCCTGCTCCCGCTCTCCACACTCTCCCCAGACCTGTTCCCACTTCCAGACCTCTCCCCATACGTGTTTCACATTCCCACTCACTTCCTGGTCCTGTCATTGTGATTGACATCACAGCAATAGGTCCTTCGGCCCTTCGTGGCCATGACAAACAAACCACCTAACTGTTCAAATCTCAGTTTCCACCTCTTCGCCCATAGCCTTGGCATCACAAGCAGCATCCAGTTATTCCTTGTATGTTCTGAGGGTTTTGACCTCTCGGCCCTCTCCCCGGTCCTGCTCCCTCTCTTGACACTCTTCCCAGTCCTGTCGAATCTCTTGGCCCTCGCCCTAGTCCTGGTTCATGTTCGCGCATATTGCCTAGTACTATTCCCCTTCCTGTCCTCTGCCCAAACATGTTCCACTTTCCTGCTCATTCCCCATTCCTGTCAATTGTTGGACAAACCCATCCGGTCACTAATGTCCTTTATAGAAAGGAATTGCCATCCTTACCGTTCTGGTCTACATGTGACTCCAGACCCACAGTAATGTGTTCGACTCTTACCTGCCTCTGGGATGGGAATTAAATGCTAGACTGGCCAGGGATGCCCTCATCCCATGAACGAATAAAAACTTTGAGTAGATTACAAATCATGACCATAGTGTGTTAGAGGGACCCTGTAGCAGGAGATGTCTAGTGCCAAGCTCGCAACGTATAGATTCCAGTGAGATTGTTGAAATTGTGTAACTGACCTTGCAAATCCTGGACTACTTTCCTAATCCTCATGAACGAGAATGAAAATTATCTTTTTAGTTTTCTGGCCCTGTTGAATAAACTTGGTGCAGAATCTAGAATTTGGTTTAACCCACAGAAACATAATCAGCTCAGGACCCTGTAGAATTACGTATAAAATAATTCTAGCCATTCCTTTGGAGAAATGGCATTCATATAACCTCGGTCAATATGGGAAGTAAATCCTCCTTACCTTGTTTCCTCTGTTTCTAGCCCACACTTCCAGGTATGTAGTTGGAATTAACCCTTTCTGAAAGAACGAAGAGATTAGTAATCAGTCAGAGAAAACTGAGCAATATGATTATGAATACACCCAGTGCTCACTCTCTTATTAACACAGTCACAGTGTGCAGGATTTATCAATCAACCTTCATGGCACCCAATCAAATTCACTGACCTGCCAAATCCACATGCAAGAAGAGATATGTTGCTCCATCAGACGGGTCATTACTGCCTCCAACTCTCTTGACCTCAATAGTCAGAAAACCCAAATAGACCCCAGAAGAAATAATGTAAAAACACATATAATGGATAAGCATGCTGGAAAATTCCTTTCCATGGATCACATTGGTATGCTCCCTTTCATTCCTCATATTACTTCACTGTTGACAGTAATGAGCAGCTAGTAACTGGAGCTGGGTAATAACTCCACATTGTCATATCAGTGCTTGCTAATCTAGGTTCTCAAAGCTGAGCTTCTTTAGTACCTCATTACCATCAGGATTCAACATAGAAATTCAGATCATATCGAATGAAGATCATGTAGATAGACAGTGGGGTGTTTTTTGCTTTCTGTTGGATTCTCCTCACAATAAAGCACAGGCCTTCATTAGTGTTGTTACAGCATCAATGCTTCTGTTAACTTTCTCTCTAGCACACATACACAACCATCAGTTCAGAATCCAGCATAGGATTCGCTAAACCTTTACCCCAGCACAGGTCATTGTGACCCCATCACAGACCCCTGAACCCTGACTCCAGCCTTGAGCCCCATGACATTTTATCATCATGACCCCAACGCCCAGCATAGCTCAGCCACCTGACCCCAGCAGAGCCGTGACTCCAATAGACTACCTGATCTTAGCGCTGACCTCCTGACCCCTGGGCAGTCATGATCCCTGACCACTGATACCAGCACAGCTCCAACCTCTGATCCTGAGCACAACTCCTGACTTCTCATCCTCGGCCAGTCCCACGACCACTGCACTGTCTTGCTCCATGATCCCAGTACAGACCCCAGTGCTGTGACCAGACTGATTCCTGGGATGACAGGACTGACATACGAAGAAAGACTGGATCGACTGGGCTTGTACTCATTGGAATTTGGAAGAATGAGGGGGATCTCAAGGAAATATGTAAAATCCTTATAGGACTGGGCAGGCTAGATGCAGAAAGAATGTTCCCAATGTTGGGGAAGTCCAGAACTAAGGGATGCAGTCTAAGAACAAGGGGTAAGCCATTCAGGACTGAGATGAGGAAGAATTTCTTCAGTCAGTTGTGAACCTGTGGAATTCTCTCCCACAGAAAGCTGCAGGGGCTCATTTTGTTACATATATTAAAGAGGGAGCTGGACGTGGCCCTTGTGGCTAAAGGGATCAAGGGGTATGGAGAGAAAGTGGGACTGGGATACTGAAACTGCATGATCAGCCATGACCATATTGAATGGTGGTGCAGGCACGAAGGGCTGAATGGCCTACAGCACCTATTTTCTACGTTTCTATGCCCCCATGACCTTGCGTCCCAGCACAGTCCAACCTAACCTTTAAGCCTGTACAGTTCCCATTCCCAACAAGACACAGCCCCAAACTCAATCACAGTTTTGTACCCTGACCCTAGCAAAGCACCACTCCAATCCCAGCACAGTTCTGAATCCTGATCCGAGCACAACCTCATCCCCTAACCCCACACATCTGGACCACAACCCTCCAAACACTTTTCTCGACATTAAGTCTAAAAAGAAGTGTTTCTGAATCAGTATGTTCCAGCTCATTAATGTGCATAATGAAGACTCCACCAGTATCCACATAGAATCACAGGACTACAACTCAATTGAAATGTGTGAACGAGCTGGTATTGATGAAATGGGCAGTGTCAATATGAATGTACGAGTACAAGGAAAGAAATTCAAACAGCAGTTCCCACCTTATTGTCCGCAATAACAGTTGACCATCCGTCTTCTCCATTCTCCAAGACAAAGACAATGCTCCCAGCTTTCGCTTCAACCTCACTTGCTGTTTTCGGGACAAAGTTGAACAGCACCTGGTGATACCCTCTTGTTCCTCTGAGGACAGACAACAGAATACATTACCTAAGGACTACTGATAGCAATAGTTGTCATTCTCAACTCTGACAGAAGGTTCAGTCTCACTCCAGAAAGACTTGAACATAAAAATTAGACGCAAGAGTCAGACATTGCATTCCCAGAACAAACATTTACCTCAATTCCACTGATGCAGACTATTACAACATGCCTTAATTCCCTAGTTTATGGAAATCCATCACCAAGGATATATGAGCAGGGCCTTTCAACTAAATCATGTCTGACTTTCTACCTCAAGTCTATTTCCCTGCATGATCCTCATATTCCTGATATTTTTAGTATCTAGAAATCTATCAATCTCTGACAGGTAGAAAACAAAAAAAAACACAACTCTCTCAGTGATGAAATTCTTCCTCCTCTCAGTCCTAAATGTCCTACTTCTTATTCTGAAACAATGTCTGCTTGTTGTAAACCTATCAGCCCGTGGAAACATTTTTCATGCATCTACCCTTTCATTTCCTTTGAGAACATTGTTTGTTCCAATTAGACTAGCTATCATTCTTTAAAACTCTAGAAATTTCATACCCGATTTCCTCAATTTTTCTTCATAGGACAGCGTGCTCCTCCCAGAAATCAGGCACTACATCTACAGCAAGTACTTTGCATGTACGATGGTTCCTTAAGGCCTCAAAGCAAGTGGATAAAGTGGTTAAGAATGCATATGATATACTTGCCTTTATTAGCTGGGCATAGAGTTCAAGTGCACAGAGGTTATGCTGGAGCTATATAAAATGTTGGTTAGGTCACAGCTACAATATCCTGTGCAATTCTGAAATCCACATTTTCGGAGAGATGTGATAGCACTGGATAGGGTACAGAGGAAATTTACCAGGATGTTTCCTGGGCTGAAGAGCTTTAATTATAAAAAGAGAGAGATTGGACAGAGAAGGGTTGCTTTTCTTAGAGCAGAGGAGGTTGAGAAGGAACTTGATTGAGACATCTCTAGTTATGAGGAGCTTAGATAGAGTATATAGGAAGAAACATTTCCCTTCTTGGGGGGGATCAATGACCAGGCAGCATAGAATTAAGGTAAGGGGTAGAAGGTTTAGAGGAGATGTGAGGAAAATCATTTTGACTCAAAGGGTAGTGGGAATCTGGAACTCACTGCCTGTATGAGCAGTACAGCAGAAGCCCTAATAACATTTAAAAAGCATTTAGGTAATCACTTGTGATGCCAAGACATACAACACTAGGGGCCAAATGACTAGCACAGACAAGATGGGCTGAACGGCCTTTTGCTGTGTGTAGATCTCAATGACTCTATGGCCATGTGGTTGATAGTGCGGAAATAGGTCTTAGATTACAGAAGGATGTAAACAGATTTACAGGTGGGCAGATCGGTGGCAAGTGGAATTTAACACTAATAAGTGTGAGGTGATGCAATTCGGAAGATGTAGCAAGACAAGGAAGTACTCAATGAATGGCAGGACCCTAAGAGGCTCAGAGATGCAGCGGGATCTTGGGATGCTTGTCCACAGATGCCTGAAGGTGGCAGGACAAAGTAACAAGGTAGTTAAAAAGGCATACAAAACACTTGCCTTTATTAGTCATAGCATAGATTATAACAGTTGGGACATTATTTGGAGCTGTACAGGACCTCGGTTAGGCTACAGCTGGAGTACTGTGTGCAGTTCCACACTATGGGAAGGATGTAATTGCACTGGAGAGGGTGTAGAGGAGTTTCACTGGAATGGAGCTGTTTAGCTATTAAGAGAAGCTGTATAAGCTCTGATTGATTTCTTTAGAGCATAGAAAACTTATAGTGAACCTGATTGAATCGTCTAAGATTCTGAGGGGCACGGACAGGATAGATAGGAAACAACTGTTCCTATTAATTGAATGGTTAATAAGAAACGTGTGTAGTTTTAATGTGAAATACCAGAGCTTTAGAAGGAATTTAAGGAAAAATAGGCGGAAATCTGGAATGCAATACCCGATAGGGTAGTTCAGGTAAGAAACCACACAACCTTTAAAAGTATGTGGATGAGTGCTTGAAATGTCATAATATTCCAGGCTCTGGGTCAACTGTTGGAAAGTAGGATTAGTGTAGATTTAGAGTAGATTTTTATTGGTGCAAACACAACGGGCAGAAGCCCCATTTTGTACTGTATGATTCCATTCAAAGATTTTCATGGGGATTCCATCACCTTCATTTGTGTGATGGGTTTCACCATTTGCATGGCATTGGCAATTTTCAGAAAATAAAATTGAAACGCTCTCATCAACAAAAGATTTCTTGATTGAAAATGTCTTCAAAATGCTCTCTCCAATTTTCTTGATAAGATCTCCTCCATTCTTAGGCCTCAAAAGGAGCTGGTCTTTGAGTACTTGGGCATAAGTGGTCTCTGTGAAGTAGTCATGGGTATCATTCACGTCAGCAAGATGTTGAATTGCCTTGGCCTTGACCATTCACCACCTGTTCTTCATGTCACAGGGTTCTCCTTTGCACCTCTGTCTCTGTTTTTTTGCTCAGCCTGCTTCTTTTGCTTTACGTTTGGGTCATGCTGCCAGGCAAAGAAAGTCTTGAGCTGGTGACCTATCAGTCCATTGATACCGTGATGATTTTCACCAAATTACTCTTGATGTTTGCTGATCGAAATTCAAGTGCCTGTTCTTTTGTTCTTGATTGAAATTTGGAAATTGGTCTCTTTTGATTGGATCCTTCAGAGCTTCAACATTAATTTTTCATGGACATGTATCCTCTTCCCTTTGCCAGTAGGGACCAACTTTGATGGATAGATTGAACAAATAAGTAAGTGGTAGATCTAGCAATACCAGTCCAATCATTGCTCTGGTGGTGTGGACATCTTTGTAATTCAGGACATGGATGATGTAACTGGATGCCATCATGACATTTGGCATTTGTTCTTCTGATAGAACATGGTACTATAGATGGTGAGTCTATCTTTTGTGGTAAGGAGAAGAAGGCCACAGGGTTGACATTTCCAATTCCTTCCTTTTCAATGATTCCATCCTAGAGAATGTAATCTTTCAAATTTGGCATTGAAGTCTCCAAAATAATAAGCCTGTCCTCCTTTGCAATCCCAGAGAGAGCTTGGTCACGTTTGGCAAGGAAATCTTTCTTTGGTTTTGTTACTAGTGTCTAGAGTTGGAACACAGGAATTGACCATGGAGGTGTGACTCCTTGCCAGTTTCAGACAAAGTCTTTTGAGGTGCTTATTGGTTCCAACAGAAACTGATGAAATTGGTTGACAAGTACTTCCTCTGGTGGAGAGAGTCCAGAACATGGGAGAATGGGCTTAAAATTAAATCTAGGCTTTCTAGGAGTGAAATCAGAAGACACAACACAAAAGAGGTCGTGGAAATCTAGAAAACTCTCCTTCAAAATTAAGGGCTATTGCACCTTTCAAAATTGAGGTGAATACATTTTTGCTGCGTAAATATCGAGGGTCACAGAACCAAAATGGAGTTGGGGTGCAGGTCAACCATGATCTATTTGAATAGGAGAACAGGTGTCAGAGGCTGGAAGGCCTCTGCATTCCTAATGCTCCAATTGTGTTATGGACCAGATCAGATCCCCTTAAAATATATTCAGAAGATAGCCCAAACTCCAACATTTTCCTATTTTAAAGGCAAGTGCCAGGCATTGTGTTCTGGATGCAATTCAATTGTTTAAACTACCAGTCCTGAAGGAAAACATATTATTTATACACTATAGTTAAAATACAACAAAAGAAAGAAGAAATTGGAATAACGTAACACTACTAGAAAACTTAATAGAATAATAGATTATTTAACTAATAACAGTAACTATTCCAATGTAGTAACATCCTATAAACATACCCTTGGCAAAAGCAAATTCAATAAAATAGATTGTCTCATATGCAATTTTCTAGCCCAGGAAGATAAACATTAAGAGAAAAGTCAGAGGGAAAGTAGCAAGAAGAGATGTACTGCAGCTTCCAAACCCACCTTCAAGACCCGCAGCAACTGTTACCAAAAGACTAAAACTAAAAATCATTGCTCTGGGGGAGCTTGACCACACCCACCCAGGCTGCTTCTATTGTTCCAACTTTAAAAAAAAACCAAGGCCTCACAAGCTGTTTACTTTATTGGAGTCCAGTAAATGGGTGTGGCCAAGCTCCCACAGAACCAGGATTTTTAGTTTCTTAGTTTTTCAGTAGCAGTTGTTGTTGGGTCTGTTACTGCAGTACATCTCTCCCTGCTACACTCTCCGAGTTCTTTTGATGGTTTTCCTCTTGGGTTGCTGGAGTTGCATGAGACACAATCTGTTTTCTGAATTTGCCTTTTGACAAGGATGTGTTTATGGGACGTTGCTATATTGGAACAATTAATTAGTATTAGTTACTGAATCTATTATTCTGTTAAGGTTTCCAATAGAGTTACAGCTAAGCCAATTCTTTATTAATTCTTTTGTTGTATTTTAACTATAGTGCATGTATAAATTGTATTTTGCTTAATGTTGAGTAGTTTGATCAATTGAATTGCATCTGGAATGCAACACCTTACATTTACTTTTAACATAAAAAAAGGGTCTAGGCTACCTTCTTAATATATTTTGAGGGAGTGTTGTCTGGTCCATAACACATTCTATCAAAGAATTGAGAGGGTAAAAAACACCTTCGTGATGGTGTGGAACTTTGATCAGAAGCTCACCTAATGACCAACAGCTTGATTCAGCCACACCAGACAGGGCAGAAGATGGAGCTGGAATTAGTGACAGGGACCCAACATTTACTTGGAGAAAATTTCTCCTTATCCAATACTGATGTCTGCCAACTGTAATAAACATATATACTATATAGAGAGGATGGTTAGTTCAGTTAACTGGATGGCTGGTTTGCAATGCAAAGTGATGCTAGCCGTTAAGAAGGATTTGTTCTGTGCTGTTTCGCTTGCAGAGGTGCAGCCAGTGTTGCCAGAATGTTTGCTTCAGAAGCAATGGATAAACAGTTTTGATCTCCCTGAGCGTTTCTTTTTAAATTAGACAAAAGAAGCATGAGTGGGTAGAGTCAGGCTCACTCAGACTCAGGCTTTTAGTTTTGCTTTTCAGTTGAAGTTGAAGTTGGGAATTTTTTGCTGTTGAAGCTGATAGATATAGCTCCCTCCCTGCTGTAGGAAAAGCTTGAGTTCTTCTCTGCTGTTAAATTGTTTATTTTAGTGTTTCTTTCTCCTGGACTGGTGATCACATGTGAGAAAATCTGTTTTACTGAATTTGCCTTTGCCATGGGTGTATTTGTGGGATGCTGCTATATTGGAACAGTTGGTAGCTAAATAATATATTATTTTGTTAAATATTTCAATAGAGTTGAAGTTATGCCAATTCTTCCTTATTGGTTGAATTTTAACTGTAGTGTAAGAATAAAGTGAGTTTTGCTTAAAGCCTAGCAGTTTTATCAACTGAATCACATCTGGAACATAGCACCTTAGTTCTCTAGGATTTGAGAAATGGTAATGGATATTGTTGAAAAACAGGTTAAAACTTTGTTCCTTTGCCTTTAGATAAGATAAAAGTTAGGGTATAGGTCATCTCCTTGATATATTTTGAAGGTGTTTGGTCTGGTCCAAAACACCAACAGTGTGGGTTCAATTCCCATACCAGCTGAGGTTACCATCAAGCTCTCTCCTTCTCAACTTCTCCCTTCACCTGAGGCGTGGGGACCCTCAGGTTAAACCACCATCAGTCATCTGTCTCTAATGAGAGAGCAGCCCTATTGTCAGGGACAGAAGTTATGGAGAAGATGTGAGGAAAATCTTTTTCACCCAGAAGGTGAAGAATCTGGAACTGACTCCCTGCAAGGGTGGTAGAGGTAGAAAATATCATACCATTAATATTTAAGTGTGCATTTGCAACATCAAAGCATACAAGGCTATGGGTGAAGTACTAGAAAATCGTATTAGAAATAGTTAGGTGGTTGTTGGTGACCAGAGCCAATGTGACAGACCAAAGGACCTTTTTTTGTGCAGTAAGTTCTATGAAAGCTTTTTTTTTGAAAAAATGGTCAGATTGTCTTTTGGAACAGTAATTACAAAATTACTTAACAGAAATGCGTAATTTTCAAGAAAATATGCAGTTCAGTCAAATGCCTGACAAGATGTCTGTGAAATTAATCGATTAACTACATTGCTGAGTTTATAACAGACAGGGAAAACAGACCAGCAATTATTACTATAGTTTTAGACTTCAGTTCCTGAGGATCAAGTTTTAAGTTCAGGAGAACAGTCTCCCTAGCAGAAGAGTTTTACTTTGTGAAGTCTCCAGACTGTGAGGGCTTGTAAAGAGGTTTTCAAGTTGTCAAAACTGAAAGAGTTTAGGCCAGCAGGCCTGAAAATAAGTCATAAAATTGCCTCAATAGTCCAAAATGAGATCTGGAAATAGTTAAATGAGAAATTAAAGAATTGAGTTCAAAGTGATATTTCTCTAAGATTTGAAAAATTGGAACGGATATTGTTGGAAAACAGGTTAAAACTTTGTTCTTCTGCCATTTCCACTAACTCCAGTGGGATGCCATCACCTAACACGGAGTCATAGGATCATATAACACAAGAGAGGCCTCTAGGCCCATCGAATCTGTGCTGAACTGTCTACACAAATCCTACTTTCCAGCACTTAGCCCATAGTGTTAAATATTATTACATTTCAACATCTTTCCTTCCCTCTCGCTATCAGCATTCTGCAAGGGACTGTCACCTCTTCAACACCTGAATCCACTTCTCATCATATCTCATACTTCTTCACTCCCCCTTGTCATCTTGAAATCACAGATGGTTTAACACTTAGCCATTCATCTTCTCCCTCCTCGCTGTCCAAGGCTCCAAACACACCTTCCAGGTGAAGCAGCACTTTACATGTACTCCTTTCAATCTGGTCTACTGTCTTGTTGCTCACAATGCAGTCTCGTTATAGTGGCGAGACCATACGTAGGCTTAGTCACTACTTTGTGGAACACCTCTTCGCTGTCTGTAGGAATAACTTGCCACTTCAATAAATAACTTGCTGTCATGCCAACACTTCTGTCCAGCCCTGCTGGAGTGTTCCAACAAAGCACAAAACAAACTTGAGGTACACTTAAGCACTTTACAGCCTTGAGGTCTCAACATTGAATTCCTTAACATTTAGAAACTGATCACATTATCTTTCATATTATTGGAGATAGAATAAAGAAATATAGATGCTGGCTATCTAAAACAAAAACAGAAATTGCTGGAGAAACTCAGCAAGCCTGGCAGCATCTATGGGGAGAAGGCAGTAACGTTTCAAGATTCTTCATCAGAACTAACGGCAGCTAGGCAAAAATGGTATTTATGCTTAAGACTGGGGGATGGGAGAGATGAGCAGATAGGCTGAGACAGAGCCCAGAGAAAGAATATGAAAAGGGTATTACTGACAAGGGAATTATTGACAGTAAGCCAGGACAGAAGAGAAGCTGAATAAGTGATAATGAGAGGCAAGACTAGGAAACAATTGGAGGGGTTGGCTATGCTGAAAGCAACCCTTGTCATGACAGGACCAGGTGTGGGTGGTGAGTAAAAAATATGGGAGGACATAATCAGACCTAAAGTTATTGAACTTGATGTTGAGTCATAGAGGCTGCAGGGTCTGTAAGGAGAAAATGAGATGCTGTCCTTCAAAATTGTACTGAGGCAGGCCCTCAGTCCAATTTGGCAAGTGAGGAATGGGAACTTTGGCAACGGGAATTTGGCAAGTGAGGAATGGGAACTCGACAAGTGAGGAATGGAAACATGACGAGTAAGGTTCAGAAACACAGTGAGTAAAGTTTGGGGACAAAGTGAGTAAGGTACAGGAACCCAGTGTGTATGTATATAGAAAACTGACTTGTACTTACCGGACAAATTGCTCCCCCAGTTTCTGTAAAATAAAGTACAGACAGTACTTCAGGCTGTTATTCAGTTTAAGTTCTCAAACCATTCAAGCACATGGTCTAAATCTGTGGGGTTTTTTCAGATAATCATTTTGAAAGCTTCCAAATGGTGTTGCTTTACTTTTTCTCTCTGTGTTGGGTTTCACTCCAATTATTGGCTTGTTGAATGTTCCGAGAGAGAATCCCAGTCTGTAAGAAGTGGGTGAATAATTCTGGAAGTCTGCGGAGGCTGTTTTCATTTCCCAGTGACTTTGGAAATCAAGCAAGATAATCAGTCCTATGTACCTATAATGCAACCCATCATCCAAGCATTTCATGAAGGTCTGGTATTCATCACTGAAACAATTATCAATCTGACAAGTTAAGATTCCTTTCCTTTTTTAACTTATACCTTAACTGTGTGTATTCGTCTATCGATGTAAGAGTGAGGTTTATGATCAAAGGAGATTGGGCTTATATTGTAGATTAGATTTTTATAATTGTAATTAGACTTTCTTGTTGTTTATCTGTATCCTGCTGAAGTTACATCATTTATTTTAAATTGTTAATTTTTGTTTAAGTTATAAACCTGGGTGTCCAATATCCACTAATTGTAAAGTCTGGTAAGGAACAATTGAGTAAATTTGAAGATCATTAAGTGTTTTAATTTCACAATGTTGAGAATCTAGTTACTTGGCTGGCTATCCCTGTGTCGTAAAAATAGCACAAGATGTGTGTGGAGTAGGGAACATATACTGGCCAGGTGGAAGGAGTGTTGATCAATGGAAGTGCTAGCACAGTGGTGATGTCACTGGCCTATGTGATTGCTCTGGAAGCAGGTCTTCAAGCTCACTACAGCATCTGGTGGAATTTAAATTCAGTTAATAAAATCTGGAATTAAAAGCTTGTTTCAGTAACGATGACCATGAAATTTACAATTCTCATGAAAACCCAGCTGATTCACTAATACTTAACCTGATCTGATCTGTGACTTCAGACCCACAACAACGTGATTGACTTTTAACTGTCCTCTGAAAAAGCTGACTAAGCCCCTTAGATGTTTCAAACTGCTACAAAGTCTAATAGGAACGCAATAGATCAGACATCACCCAACATCAATCTAAACACCAGAAATGACAATGAAAAATACAGCCCTGTCAATCCGACAAAGTCTTTCTTACTAACATCTGGAAGTTAGTACCAAAATTGGTAAAGCTATCGCACAGACTAATCAAGCAATAGTCATACTCACGGAATCATAGCTTATTGACAATGGCCCAGTCATCACCATCACTGAACCTGGGCATGTCCTATCCCACCAGCTAGACAGGCCCAGCACAGGTGGCAGAATCAGGAGAGATTTGTCCTGGGAGTCTTCAATACTGAAGCCTCATGGCTTCAGGATAAATATGGCTGGTGAAACCTTCTGCTAATTACCATGTCCCACACCCACTCAGCTGATGAATCAGTACTCCTCCATGTTGAACACCACTTTGTGGAAGTGGCCAGGGTGCAGAATGCACTCTGGGTGGGGGACTTCAATGTCTATCACTAAAAGTGGCTCAGCAGCACAATTACAGACTGAACTGATCGAGTCCTAAAGGACTTGGCTGCTAGACTGGGGCTGCAGCAGGTAGCGAGGAAACCAACAAGAAGGAGAAACAGATTTGACCTCGTCATCAATCTGCATATTGCAGAAGTGTCTGTCCATGACAGTATTGGGAAGAGTGACCACCACATTGTCCTGTGGAGACAAAGTCCCATCTTCACAGAGGACACCATCGTGTTATGTGGAACCACAAATGTGTTAAATAGGAGAAGCCAAACAGACTTAGCAACTCAAGTCTAGACATCCATTACGTGCTGTCGACCATCAACAATAGCTTAAGTATATTCAACCATAATCTGTAACTTCATGGCCCAGCATATCCGGTAGCCTTACCACAGTTCAAAAGTGAACAAGCACAGGAAAACACGTCCTGAGGAGCAGCACCAGGTATACCTAAAAATTGGGTATCAAGCTACAACATAGGGCTAAAGGACCAAATGCAGGTAAATAGGATTAGTTTAGTTTGCTATTTGTTGGTTGGCACAGACATGGTGGGCCAAAGGGCCTGTTTCAATGCTGTGTGACTCTACTTGAATGCCACACAGCAGCAGCTACCTATGATAAACAGGGCTAAATGATCCCAGGCCAATGGATAGATTTGAGCTCTGCACTGCTGCCACATCATGTTGTGAACGGTGAAGGAAAACAATACAACTCACTGCAGGAAGAGGCTCCACAAATATGCCCATCATGATTCACTTTATGTGATATCAACAAAACGGATAGGTTGTTGGCTCTGGATACGACAAAGGTTATGGGTCCTGGTAACATTCTGACAATAGTCTTCAGAATTTGCTGCGTCCCTAGCCCAGTATTCCATTGCAGCTACAACACTGACGTTTACTCAATAATGTGGAAATTTGCCAGATACATCCAGTCCACAATAAACAGGGCAAATCTTATCAAGCCAATTACCACCCGACCAGTCTGTGTATATGTGGTGCATGCGCGGGGTATGGGTGTGCACGCGTTTTTGTGTCTACTCAATGGAGTGTGTGTGTGTAAAAGTGAGTGAGTTTGTAAGGTTATATGATGACAGTCAATAATTGTTTACCTGCTGTGAGAGTTTAACAAAATTAATATTTATTAGAAGTATTTAAGTACAGAAAACTTGTCTGTGCTTACTGCTAACCTGAGTTTAAAAGACAGGCAAATCAGGGAATTCAGCATCTTTTAAAAAATCTTTCATAGACTCATAGAATCCCTACAGTGTGAAAACAGGCCCTTCGGCCCAACAAGTCCACACCGAACCCCAGAGCATCCCACCCAGACCCATCCCCCTATAACCCACCTAATCTACACCTCCCTGAACACTACAGGCAATTTAGCATGGTCAATCTAACCGAGCCTGCACATCTTTGGCCTGTGGGGGGAAACTGGAGCATCCGGAGGAAACCCACACAGACACGGGGAGAACGTGCAAACTCCAAACAGACAGTCACCCGACTGGAATCGAATGCTAACCACTGAGCCACCGTGCATCCCAATTTAGGGGTGATCATTTAGGACTGAGACAAGTAGAAGTTACTTCGCTTCACTTAAACAGTTACGCATTATAGGAGCCCAGAAGGTTGTGGTTGCCTCATCGCTGAATATATAAAATTGAGATAGACAGGTTTTTGTTCTATCAGGAAATCCAGCAAAAAGAGGAATATGCAGGATTGTGGATTTGAAGCCCAAGATCAGCCACTGACAGCTTATCCCTGCATTTTTTTCCTTTGTGTTTTTGTATTCTGCTATTCCTACGTACACTTCCACTAAGCCCCATCTTTTCTTGCTTAACTTGTTGCATTCCCACCTTCTTTTGCATCACACCATCACCCGTTAACATAATCTCTCCTGCTTTCCATGTTCCACAGATGTTCCCTTTTATTCTGAAATCCACAGCTCACCAGGCAAACCTCAACTTTTCCCTGATTCTGTATTTGCTTCAAAGTTCCAGCATCTTCCAAAAGACAGTCAATCTAAAAAATTAAAGCTGGCTCTCCTCCAGTGGATGTGCCTGATTTCTTGTTTATTATCCAAGCTAATCATTATTGTGAATTACTTATTTAGCATATAACTCTGATAACTCAGTATGAGCCCTAATAGTTTTATTTCAATGAAGAACAGAAAGAGCGCAGATAGACATCAGTTGAGACTGTCAAAGTAATTTAGAGCATTTTTTTAGTTTCAAAAATCTACCTTACTCATAAAAATATCTTTTACACGTATACATAGTCACTGAAGTAGTTCAATTCTGTACAAGAGCATATGAAGAAAACAAACAGACATTGAAGTTTGAATCTATCCAACAAACAGACCAAAGGCATCTCTTACTTGTCCAAGATTATATTTATATATGATTGAGGTACCAAGAAGGTCCAATAACTGAACAGACTCCATTTAAATTTTATAATTGCTCTGGGAATACAGGGCATAATTTCCAGCATGTTACCCCAGTAAGGTGTGATAAGTGTCTTTCATGACTTCTCAGATACCAAAGCACGTGCAAGTCCACATTCAGCAAGATTGAGATAATATCCAGGTTTGAGCTGATACGTGGCAAGTAACATTTGTGCCTTGCAAATATCAGGCAATGACCATTTTCAACAAGTGATAACCAAACCATCTCCCCTTGATATTCAGTGGCAGTACCATCATTGAGTTCCCACTAACAACATTATGGGGATGACCAGTGACTAAAAACTGAACTGGACTAGCCAGATACAGTGACTACAAGAGCAGGTCAGGAATTCTGCAGCAAATCATTCACTTTCTGACTCCCCAAAGCCTATCCAGTATGTTCAAGACATAAGTCAGGAGTGTGATGGAATACTCCCCACTGGCCTGGATGAGCGCAGCTATAACACTCAAGAAGCTTGACACCACCCAGCATCACATCCATCACTTTTAGCAACCACTCCCTCCATGACCAACATCTGGAAAGCCTTTTGGCATCCAGGTGAGCTTCTTGCGCCAGTGCATAGATAGTTCTACTGGAGATGGGGCAGTGCTAGATCTATTCTTACAGAATTAATCAAACACTTTGAGGACACTGACCATACCTCTGTATATTTCAAAGTAATTATGTAATAGGAAAAGAATAGTGCAGAAACATATGTCTAAATTGAGGGAAGGCCAATTTCAATATCGTTATACAAGATCCGGCAAATACAGACTAGGAGCAGCTACTTGCAGGTCAGTCTACATTTGGAAGGTGGGAGTCTTTTAAAAGGAGAAGTGAGGATTCAGGGCCAGCACGTTCCTCTAAGATTGAAGGACAAGTATAGCAAAAACAGGGATCCCTGGATATGAAGTGATATCGAGAGTTTGATAAAGAAAATGAAGGAAGCATACGTTTGATACGGAGCATTAAAAACAAAATGGGGCCTTCAAAAATAAAAAATAAAATTAAGAAACAAAGAGGGGCCACAAAATATCATTGGCAGGTAGGATTAAGGAAAACTCCAGGCATTTTGTTAATATATTAAGAGTAATAGGATTACCGGGGAAAGAATGGGGCCTATCAGAGGTTAAAGAGGTGATCAGCGCATGGAGCCAGAGGACATGGGTGAAGTCTTAAATGAATATTTCTCATCTGTATTCACAAAGGACAAACACATTATAGCTGGAGATTTCAGGTGGGATTTTGAGTTTCTACACCATGTTAAGATTAATAAGGAGGGGGTATTAGATGCTTTCACAGGTATAAAGGTGCCTACATCACCAGGACCAGATGAGAAGTATCCCAGGCTGCTATGGGAGGCAAGGGAGAAAATTGCTGGGGCCTTGGCTGAGATATTTAATACTTCACTGACCACAGGTGATGCATCAGACGACTAGAGGATAGTGAATGTGGTTCCCTTGTTCAAAAATATCATGAACAATAAGGGATCCAGCACTGATCCCTGTGGTACACCAGGCTCCAGTCAGACAAACAGCCTTCTACCACCACCTTGCCACTAAGCCAATTTTGGATCCAACTTGCCAAGTTACCCTGGATCCTTTTTCAGTTTTCCACGTGGGACCTTGTCAAAGATCTTGGCTGAAATCCATATAAACTACAACCACTGCCCTCCCTCATCTACCTACTAGGTCATTCCCTCAAATAATTCAACCAGTTTTGTTAGGCATCTTCCTCTCTAAACTTTCTTGTTCACTATTTTCTCCAACAGTTTCCCTACCACTGATGTTAGATTCAGGGGTCTATATTCCCCTGATCTATCTCTACCACCCTTCTTGTAAAGTGGAATCACATTAGCTGTCCTCCAGTCCTCTGGCACCTTTCCTGTGGCCAGAAATAATTTAAAAATTTGGGACAGGGCCCAAGTCTCCCACTGCAGCCTGGGAGACAACTCATCTGGACCTGGGTACTTGTCCACTTTTAAATCTGTCAAAATCTCCAATACCACTTCATTTCTTATGCTCTGATATATTATACCTTTCAATAAAGTCACCTCTCCTAAACTCTAATGAGTAACAAATGAAACCTCGTCTTGTAAAATAATCTCTCCATACCCAGAATCACCTCAGTGAACCTCCTCTTGACTGCCTCCAAATCTAATACATCTCTCCGAGATAATGGGACTAAAACGGTTCACAGAATTCCAGCTGTAGTCTATCCAGTATCTTATATAGTTTCACTTAGTCTTCCCTATTTTTACACCCCATTCCGTTTGAAGTAAAGGCCAAATTCCATGTGCCTTCCCTAACAGCTGCTGAACTTGGATGCGAGCTTTTGTGAATCATGCACTAGGGTCCCAAATCTCTCTGTTCTGCAGTTTTTTTTCCTGTCTTGGCCCAATTTAAATAATATTCAGCTATTCTATTCCTCCTGCCAAAGTATATAACCTCATACTTCCCCTCATTACATAGAGTCAGAGAGATATACAGCATGGAAACAGACCCTTCGGTCCAACTTGTCCATGCTAACCACATAAATCTAGTCCCATTTGCCAGCATGTGGCCCATATCCCTCTAAAGTCTTCCTACTCATACACCCGGAAATAGCAAGAGTCCTGATGAAAGGTGTAAACCTGAAATGTCAACTTTCCTGCTCCTCTGATGTTGTCTGACCTGCTGTGCTCCTCCAGCTCCACACTGTATTCATATATCCATCCAGATGCCTTTTAATGTTGGAATTGTACCAGCCTCCACCACTTCCTCTGGCAGCTCATTCCATACATGTACCACCCTCTGCATGAAAATGTTGCCCCTTATGTCCCTTTTAAATCTCATCTTAAACCTATGCCTTCTAGTTTTAGACTCTCTCGCCCCAGAGAAAAGACATTGCCTATTTACCCTATCCATACACCTCATGATTTTATAAACCTCTATAAGGTCACCCCTCAGCCTCCAACGCTCCAGGGAAAATAGCCACAACCTATTCAGCCTCTCCCTATAGCTCAAACGCTCCAACCCTGGCAACATCCTCATAAATCTTTTCTGTATGCTTTCTAGTTTCACAACATCCTTCACGTAGCAGAGAGACCAGAAATGCACGCAATACTCCAAAAGTGGCCAAATCAATGTCCTGTACAGCCACAACATGACCTTCCAACTCCTATACTCAATGCACTGACTAATAAATGCAAGCATACCAAACGCCTTTTTCACAATCCTATCTACCTGCGATTTTACTTTTAAGGAACTCTGAACTTGCATGCCAAGGTCTCTTTGTTCAGCAACACTCCCCAGGACCATACTATTAAGTGTGTAAGTCCTGCCCTGATTTGCCTTTCCAAAATGCAGCACCTCACATTTATCTAAATTAAACTCCATCTGCTACTCCTCGGCCCATTAGTCCATCTGACCAAGATCCCGTTGTACTCTCAGGTAACCTTCTTCGCTATCCACTACACCACTAATTTTAGTGTCATCTGCAAACTTACCAACCATACTTTCTATGTTCACATTCAAATCATTTATATAAATGACAAAAAGCAGTGGCCCCAATACTGAGACAACAAGGTGCAGGGCTGGATGAACACAGCAGGCCAAGCAGCATCATAGGAGCAGGAAGGCTGACGTTTCGGCCCCAATACTGATCCTTGTAGCACACTGCTGGTCACAGACCTCCAGTTTGAAAAGCAACCCTCCACCACCACCCTCTGTCTTCTACCTTTGAGCCAGTTCCGTATCCAAATGGCTACTTCTGCCTGTATTGCATGTGATCTAACCTTGCTAACCATCTACCATGAGGGACATTGTTGAACGCCTTACTGAAGACCATATAGATCACATCCAATGCTCTGCCCTCATCACATTACATCTGCCACATCTTTGCCTCTTTACTTAACCTGTTTATATCCCTCCATAGATTTCTTGAGTGATCCTCACTACTTGCCTTCTCACTCATTTTTTTGTCATCCACAAACTTAAATGAATTACAATAAATATACCTATTAATACTTACAGGCAGTGAGTTACAGATTCATTTCCTCACAGTCCCTCTAAATCTCCTGCCTCTTACCTTAAATCCATGTCTCCTGGGAGGGGACGGGGGTAATTGATCCCTCCACTGAGGGGAAATGTTCCATCTTTGTCCATCCCAGTTTCCTGCACCCTCCTCTTTCATCCATCTCTCTTCACGGTGCGCAACCATTCCCCATCCCTCCCTCTCCTATCTCCACTTTCTCTCTTCCCCTCCCCACCCCAGTTGTTCAGACAGACATACCGATGGGCAAAGTGGCTTGAATCCTGCGAAGCTGTCATTTGGATCAATGGATGAGACCACCTGGCAACAGAGTGAAGAGGGTTCTTGTGTTAGTGAGCTGGAAAATGGACCATTTGTCCTTTCACTTCCAAGCAGGACAAGGATTGGATCTCTGGGTACAGATTCAACCCCTCCCCTCTCCTTTCCTTTCCGAGTGAGGTGCACACCTCCTCTGAACCCATTCAAGGTCAGAGGATTTTGGAATGAGAACTGACCTGGGAGCATCCCAGAACAGACCAAATAAGGGAGATACACAAGAAGTGGGAAAATAGAGAGGATATTAATTATACAAATATCACTCAACATAATAATTCAATGTGAACAGGAGAAAAAAGGTAATTTACATCTGATAACAAGCACTAATTTTCATTTCCATATGCTTTTCAGTTAAAAAGGCCTGATTTTCTCAGACAGCACCAGTACAACACGGACTAAACACCAGACATGATTCCAGCTTTACCTTAGGTGTTCCCAGGAAATCTTTCAAGTTCAGCTCATCTACCTCATGCTTGCGAGGTCTGAACACAATCCCTTCAGGCACATCAATTGGTTCAAAGGTTTTACTGCTCTGAAAGAAAAGAACAATGCAGCAAAGTTAAATAGGGTATGTAAGTGAGCCAGCAAGGATTCAGCATGAGTTGGCGAGACTGCATTAACAGCATGTGGGGGTGTTAACATGGGTCTTGCCATGGAAAACGAGTATTGGTTCAGAATATAATGTTATGTTTTATTCAAGCTCTATGTTTTTGTTCAATCTTTCCTCGAGTTCTCTCCCCTCCTTCAGACTGCAATATTCCACACTGTCTTCCCATTTATCCAACTACTTCCTTGAATTCAATGGATTGTTCAGACAATCAATAACTTATCTTAATTCGCTGGTTGTACTGGGATGGTTCACATCCTTACTCATATCATTACTTTTAGGGTTAAACTGAAATATAAATATACAAACAAACAGTAAACTGCAAGTCTTATGGTTTCTTGCTTAAATATCTTCACTGAGTCATTACAACATAGGTGGAGACCATCAGCTCATTGAGAACATGCCAATCCATTACAGAGCAACCCAATCATGGTCATTCAGGTCATTACCACTTTCAGCCCACTGTAATTCTTCCCACGTTCTCCCTTGAATATCTTGCCCAAATCCTCAAACCTGTCTCCCCTAATCCTTGCCCCATCAGCAACTGGGAATCGTTTTGGATTGGATACTTCCAATAAATCCACTGTGATCTTATACACCTTTATCAAGTCTGCCTGCAATCTGGTTTGTTCCAAGAACAACAACTCCAGCTTCTCTAACCTGACCTTGTAACATTCCCAAACCCTGGAACCATTTTGGTAAGTCTCCTCTGTACCCTCTCAAAGACACTCACACTATTCTCAAAGTGTGATAACCAATAATACATACAAAGTTCTGGTTGTGGCCTAACCAAAGCTAGAAAGAGATTCAGCGTAATCTCCCTGCCTTTGGATTCACTGCCTCTATCTGTGAAAACAAGACCCCAAATTCTTTCTTAAACAATACGTTACATGAACAATGAACAAGAGTAGGCTGCTCGACCAATCAAGACTGCTCCACCATTCAAGAAGAACATGCCTGATCTGATTTTAACTTCAACTCTACATTCCTGCAAATCCTCGATAATCTTTCATCCCTTGGTAATCAAGAATCTACCTACCTCTGCCTTAAAATATTTAATGATTCTACAGGTTAGAATGTAAAACTAAAACACAAAGGATTAGGGATGGTGTACTGACATGGATAGAGAACTGATAGGAAACAAAGAGTAGGGGCGTTTTCTAAGTGGCATCTAGTAACCAGTAGGGTACTGAAGGGAACAATGTTTGGACCATAGCTATTCACAATATACATTAATGGTTCAGATGAGGGACAAAATGTATTATATCCAGGTTTACAGATAACACAAAGCTGGGTGGAAGGGTGAGCTGCAAGGAAGATGCAGAGATGTTTCAGTGTGATTTGGGAAAATGGGGTGAGTGGACAAATGCATGGCAGATGAAGTATAATATGGATAAATGTAATGGTATCCACTTTGCTGGCAAAAACAGGGAGGCAGATTATTATCTCAATAGTGACAGATTGGGAAAGGGAGAGGTGAGATGATGCTTGGATGCTCTCCTACACCAGTCACTGAAAGTAAGCATGTTTTGATGCAGCAGGCAGTGAAGTAAGCAAATGGTATGTTGGCCTTCATAGCGAGATGATTCAAGTACAGGAGCAGAGATGCCATGCTGCAATTGTACAGGGCCTTGTAAGACCACACCTGGAGTAGTGGTCTTCTTGTCTGAAGAACATCATTCTGGCTGTGGATGGAGTGCAATGAAAGTTTACCAGACTGATTCCTGGGATGGTAGGACCAATGTATGATGAGAGACTGAATTAGTTTGGACTATATTCACTGCACTTTAGAAGAGGAGGGATCTTATAGAAATATATAAAACTCTAACAGGACTAGACAGGGTAACTGAAGGAAGAATGTTCCTGATGACTGTGGAGTTTAGAACTAGGCGTCACTGTTTAAAGATAAAGGGTAGGCCATTTAGGTCTGGAATCAAAAGAAATTTCTTCACGTAGACAGCCTGTAGAATTCTGTCACAGAAAGCTGTTGAGGCCAAAATACTGAACAGTTTTCAAGAATGAGTTAGTTATAATTCTTGGTGCTAAAGGAATCAAAAGGTACGGGGAAAAAGTGGGAGCAAGGTACTGAGTTGGATGATCATACATGATCAAATTGAATGGCAGAACAGGTTCAAAGGTCAGAATTGCCTACTCCTCCTCTTACTTTCTATATTTCTATCTTTCTACATCTCAAGCTTCTGCAGTCTCTCATCATTAAGAAAGTATGCTTTTTCTAAAAAAAAATTATGCCAGAAAATCAATTTCACACTTTTCCATATTGTACTCCATTTGCTAGATCTTTACCCACTCACTTAGGATATATATATCCCTTTGTATACCTCTTAAGTCCTCATCAAAGCTCACTTTCCTACCTACCTTTGTGTCATCAACAAATTTAGCCACCATACCTTTGCTCCCTTCATCCAAATCATTTATGTAAATTGTAAAGAGTTGAGGCTCCAGCACTGGCCCCCGTCTGAAAAAGACCCATTTTACAAACCCTCTGCTTCCTATTACCCTGGCAATCTGCACATGTTGGAAGTATGTTTTTGTTACTAGTCAGACAATGCGAACTGCTTATCAAAGTAAAGACATACTGGCACTGGAGTCAGTCCAGAGAAGATTCACGTAGCTGATACCAGTATGGAAGAATGGTCTTATAAGAAGAGGTTGAGTAGATTGACCTGTACCTGTTGGAATATAGAAGAATGAGAGGCAACCTTATTGAAATATACAAGATTATTAGGAGATTTAACAGGGTAGATGCAGAAAAGTTGATCCTTCTTGAGCAAGGCTCTATGACCAGAGGGAATTATTTCAAAATAAAGTGTCGTACATTTACAACAGGGATGAGGAGGAATGTCTTCTCTGAGGGTAGTGAATCTGTGGAATTCTTTACTGCAGAAGCCTGTTGGCTGCGTTGTTAAGTATACTGAAGGCTGCAATAGACAGATTTTTAATCGGAAAGGGAAGCAAGGGTTTGGGGAAAAGACAAGAAAGTGGAGTTTCAGATTATCAATTCAATCACAATCTCATTAAATGATGGAGTGGATTTGATGGGCTGAAAAGGACTACTTCTTCTCCTATGTCATGGTGTCTTAACTCTAAGATTATCCCAATCAATATTTTGATACAAGATCTCTCGTAAAATTTCCCAATATCACCACACCGTAGTTCTTGCACATCTCTGATTTTTGCAGATTTTATCCTCTCTCTCTGTCTACACATTTGTAAATCCACATAAGTAAACAAATATTACCTGCCACAGGCAGATGTGGCTTTTGGATAATTCCGGCATGTTCATTCGGAAAGGACCCACAAAAAGAAATTCAGATGGCTTACCACTGTTAATAAAGAATGACATCAGTGCAGTCATGAAAGTAGATCTTAAATAGAAGAACAAAATCTAGAATCATTTTGAGTGGAGCTAAGCAAGGCATGGGCAGTAGAGTTTGGTGGGAGTTGCCTACAGAGCACCAAATAGTTGCGATAATATATAGTCTAAATCAGGAAATTAGAGGCACATACATCAAAGGTAATTATGGGAATTTAAATCCAATTAGTACTAATGATGCGGAGGGCTGTGACAAAAGCCTTTTTGTGTATTCGTTTGTGCAGTGTCAGCTAGAAATCTGTGAATGTTGCAATATTCTGGAACATGGTGTTCTAATAATTGCTATATTTAAATGTTCTAAGGTTTCTACATTCAATCTGCCTCACATTTATTTCAGGTGAACTGTTTTGCAATACATCCTTCAAAATCTCCAGGCACGCACTCCAATAGTCAATGGTGACTGTGATGGATTGAACTGATACTGTTGTTATGCCCACTATAATAACTGGTTCTGAATTGAACAAATTAATGACATTTTGGGCTTATTTGTTTCCTGGAAAATACTTCTCAGTTTGGCTTATTGAAATGTTGAGATTCCATCTGAAGGAAGTGTTTGAATGCACGGAACATAGAACATAGAACAGTACAGCACAGTACAGGCCCTTCGGCCCACAAATCAATCTACCCTGCATACCCTAATCTGGTGGAGAGGGAAACAAACAAAAAGGACAAATGACTTCCATTTATTTTCACACACTTGACAGAACAGGCTGATGCAGAGCATTCAGACCAGCACAGAATTCTTCCCTCAGTAAAGAGACCAAACTCCATGTGCTGTTTCACCAACTCTGCATATAACTGAAGGAAAATATCTTTACTTCTGTGCTCAAACCCTCTTGCAATGAACAGCAACATGCCATTTGCCTTCTAAATAGTTTGCTGGTCCTGCATGATAGCTTTCACAGAATTTTGAACAAGGACATCCGGGACTCTGAACATCAACGCTTCCCAGTCTCCCACCATTTAAAAAATGCTCTTCAGTCCATGCTTTTCCTACCTAAGTGAATAACGTTTTTTTTACATTATATTCCATCTGTTATGTTCTTGCCTACTGACTCATACTGTTTAACTCCCCTTGAAGCCTCTTCATATCTTCCTCACAACACATTTATTCCCAACTAGCATTATGTCATCAGAAAATTGGAAAATATTACATTAGTCCCCACATTCAAATCATTGATATAGATTGTGAATAACTGAGACCCAAGCACTGATTCTTGCCCTACCAGTAATGGCCTGCCTGTTTGTTCCTAATTCTGTTTCATGTCCATTAACTAATTCTCCATCTGTGTCAATATATTATCCCCAATCTCATGCACTCTAATTTTGTTTACTAACCTCCTGCTCGAATGATATGGAAGTGTCGGAGTTGGATTGGGGTGGACAAAGTCAGAAGTCACATGACACCAGGTTATAGTCCACAGGATTATTTGAAATCACAAATTTTCAGAACACTGCTCCTTCGTCAGATGAAGTGACTCCAAAAGCTTGTGACTTCCAATAAAACTGTTGGACTATGACCTGGTGCCGTGCGACTTCTGGCTCTTGTGTGAAAGCCTTTTGAAAATCAAAGTACATCACATCCATTAGTATCTCCTTATCTATTTTGCTAGTTATATCCTTTAAAACTCCATACGGTTTATCAGACATGATTTCCCTTACATAAATCTATGTTGACTCTGAACACTTCATACAATTCACTGTACGGGACATGTTGACTGGACAATATTTGAGTGTCTAGTTAACACGTCCCTTTACAGTGAATTCTAGCATATTACCTACCAGTTACGTCAGGCTAACAAGTCTGTAGCTCCCTGTTTTGTTTCTCATGCCTGTCTTAAAGAGGAACATTTGTAACCTCCCAATCAGCAGAATTTTAGAAGGTAGCACCCAAAGCATCCTCTATGTTTTTCAGTTACCTTGCAGCATTCTGGACTTGTCAATCTATGATGGACCATAGAAATGTTATAAGACCAACAGAGGCCATTCAACCCATCATGTCTGTACCAAACGAACAAACCAGCCATCCATTCTAACCCCACATACCAGCACCTGGTCCATAGCCTTGTCTCAATATGTCTCTGCATAGATTTTCTGAGCTGAGAGACATCCTCAGCTCACTGCTATGCTTTCACCAGCATGAGTGAATCAATAAAGACATGATGCTAAACAAGGTCACACTTCAGACTAAATGATAAGGATCATATAGCACTGCTAAAGCAGGGCTCTACATTTAATGCTGCTGAGGACTGTGCAGCCTTGAACAATGGGCTCTTATCTCTTACATACTTTTTTTATTTCAAAAATATACTTTTTCTACAAACATATATAGTCACAAATGCAGTTTGGTTTTGTACAATAACATATCAAGGAAACAAACAAACATTGGAGTATGACTCTATCCAAACAAACCAAGGGCATCTCTTACTTGAAGAAGACTAAATTTACATGCATTTGAGGCACCTGGGGGGTCCGACAACTGAACAGACTCCCATTTAACTTGAACAGGAAGACCTCAGACTGTGCTCTTTCCCCACTTCACCTTGGTGGCAGCTTATCTCTTATATACTCCATCTCTCACATAATCCAAGAGATTTGCATTGCATTTCTCCGACAGGCTGGGTTTGAGAAGGCTGCCAATGTCTGAAGGTAGGTCCTCTCTGTCTTGGTGACTAAGTGGATTGTCTGCCTTTCAGTCCACAGGATATACTATCAGGGTTATACCAAGTAAGAGATACATTAACTCAGATGTGAAGCTGGACACGCTCCACAGTCATAGAAAAGAGAGAAGAGACAGAAACAGAGGTGATGTTTCTGGTGAATTACTTTTCACGAGAACTGAGAAAAGTTAGAAACGTAACAGGTTTTAAGCAAGAGAAAGGAGGAGATTTAATGACATTAGTTGAAGGGTTTAGAGGAAAATAGGAGAGTTTTATTCACGCCAAGAGTGTTGGGGTCTGAAACTGACATGGGGCAGAGATAAAAACACACATATATTCAACCTAACTGGATATAGAACATAGAACAGTACAGCACAGTACAGGCCCTTTGGCCCACGATGTTGTGCCGAACTTTTACCCTAATCCTAAGGTATATCTAAACTCCAACCCTACCTTATACTATCATCCATATGTCTATCTAATAGCCGCTTAAATGCCACTAATGAGGCCGACTCCACTACCCTCTCCGGCAATGCATTCCACGCCCCTACCACTCTCTGAGTAAAGAACCTACCTCTGATGTCTCCCCTGTATCTACTTCCACTCACTTTAAAACTATGCCCCCTCGTAATAGCTACCTCCACCCTAGGAAAAAGTTTCTGACTGTCCACTCTATCTATACCACTGATATATATATACCTCAAAGTCACTACCACGAAGCTCTGCTGCAATTAACGCAGACTTTGACACTGAGCAGTCAACGATAGTCTTTTCCGGACTAGAGATTGTGCTAACAGCAGTTCCCTGTCACAGTACACACTAGGAAGGCATTCACAAGAAGTCACTACTACAGCTCATCTCTGCAAGTCAGTGGGGATTTTTAACAATAGGGCACACTTACTTTTACCATGCTCAGTGCTCTGTCCAGTTCAGTGTTTGTGCCTTTGGCCCTCAATCGTAAAGCATCTTCCAGAGTTTGCTGAGCCTCCAGCCACTGGCCCAGTCTGCTGTACACTGCAGCCAAGTTGTACAGAACCTAGGGAATGATAGCAAGAACAAGAAGTAGCTTGTAATGGGACAATACTTGCACAATAACATGATTCATAGCCTCAGAATTTCTATCTGAACTAAATGCGTGCTTTAAAAAAATACAATCACTGCATTTGGTTGAACTGTTCACAGGGGCAGAGTTTCCTTCCGTGCAGAAAAGAGCAGCGTCACTGGTGATGACAACTTGCTATTACATTGTGGGCTTTTGTAGAATTACATACTATCAAATGGAACAGGGGACGGCCATTCAGTTCATCAAGTGGAGCGTGTATGACATGAGCTGCCAGAGGAAGTGAAGGATGCAGGTACAATTACAACATTTTTGGACAGGTATATGAATAGGAAGGGTTTAAAGGTGTATGGGCCAAATGCTGGCAAATGGGATGAGGTCAGATCAGGATGTCTGATTGGTATGGACGAGTTGGATCGAAGGGTCTGTTCCCATTCTGTATGACTCTGTCCACGTGACAGTTGTGAGTAGCTATCCAATTAAACCCATTTCTCTCATTGCCATGAAAATGTTTTCCCTTTAAATAGTCCAAATTTCTTTTGAAAATTACTATTGTATCTGCTTCAATTGCCTTCCGGTGCACTCCACATCATAAAATTCAGTCTGTGAGAAAATATCTCAGTCATCACCATCCCACCACTCCCCCTCCCCAACCTAGTTCTTTCATCAATCACTGTAAATCAGTGCGCTTTTGTTTACTGACCGATCACTAAAAATCATGTTTGGACACTTCAAAAGGCAAATCATGTCTGTCTAACTTAGAGTTTTTTGGGGAAGTCTTAACCACAGTCAATAGAGAGAAGCCAGAAGTTGTGTTGAATTTGGGCTTCCAAATGGCATTCGATAAGGTACCTCACAAAAGGTTAAGTCATAAGAGCACACAATGTTGGAAGTGGTACGTTAGCATGGATAGAGAATTGGCTAATGGGCAAGAAACAGCCAGTCAAGTTATGTTGGCAACCTGGAACCAGTGGGGTACCACAGGGATCAGTGCTAGGCCCACAACTGGTTACAATATATACTATTACTGTGAAGGATGGAAGCGAATGTACTGTGGTCACATTTGTAGATGACACATAATAGGTAGAAAGGCAAGTTGTGAGAGGGATGCAAACAGTTTGTACGGAAATATTGGTAGGTTACGTGAGTGGACAAAAAGTTGGCAAATAAAAGTACAATGAGGGAAAATATGAAGTTGTTCATTTTGGAAGGGTGAACAAAAGAACAGTATTATTTAAATGGAGAAAAACTGCAGAAAGCTGCAATACAAATGGACTAGGGGGTATGTGTGCATAAAACAGAGAAAGCTAGCACATTGGTGCAGCAGGCAGTCAGGAAGGCTAATTGAATGTTGGTCCTTATTTCAAGGAGCTTGGAGTCTAAGAGTAGGGAAGTCTTCCTGCAACTGTACAAGGTGATGGTGAGATCACAACTGGAGTACCGTGAGCAGTTTTGTTCCTTTAATTTAAGGAAAGATATAATTTCATTGAGACAGTTCAGAGAAGGTTCACGAGAATGATCATAAGAATGATCCCCAGTATGGTCTTAGGAGCAATCATAATCATTGGAGTTTCAATTGAATGAGAGGTGATCTCATTGAAACATATAGGATTTCTAAGAGGCTCGACAGCGTAAATGCTGAGAGGATGTTTCACATCATGGGAGAGTCTAGGACTAGAGGGCATACTCTCAGAATAAAGGGGTGTCAATTTAAGACTGAGATAGAGTCATAGAGCCATACAACATGGAAACAGACCCTTCAGACCAACCAGTTCATGCCGACCATAATCCCAAAACTAAACTAGTCCCACCTGTCTGCACTTGGCCTGTATTCCAGAACATTTCTTTTCACGTACTTATCCAAGTATCTTTTAAATGACGTAACTGTACTCACATCCACCAGTTCCTCTGGAAGTTCATTCCACACACAGACCATTCTCTGTGCAAAAATAAATTGCCCCTCATGTCTTTTCTAACTCTTTCTCTCAGGGTTGAGAGTCTTTGGAACACCTTGCCACATAGAGCTGAGGGGCAGAGTCCTTGTGTATATTTAAGGCTGAGATAGATAGATTCTTGATCAGTAGGGGAACCAGGGTTTATGGGGAAAGGGCAGGAAAGTGGGCATGAAGAATTTTGAATCAGCCATGATCCTATTGAATGGTGCAGCAGCCTTGAGAGACTGATCAGCCTATTCCTGTTCCTACTTCTTACTGTCTTATATGAACATTCACCAACTGGAGTTGCTGTTGCCAGCCCCACTGTATACTTTCACTAATTACTTCAGTGAAACCCTCAATCATGTCTTTTTTTAACCTCTAGATTGGCCTGAGGTCATCCAAAACTCTGCTGCCTGTGTCAATTTTTATCAGCTAAGGCTCCTATCGAACCGGTCACATTATACTATGCTAAAGAAGCTGCATAAAGACAAGTCCTACTGAACAAGCAGCCAGAAAGCTACAATACCCATCTGGGGAAGAGGTGCAAGAGCAACCAAGGAACTCACAATGGAGGAAGGGAATTTAGTTGTCCTGGCCTGTGTTGGAGTTAACAACATAGGAAGAAGTGTACTTGTCCAGGGAATGCAACAACGCTCTGAGTAAATCGCAGATCTGATGATTTTCCAAGAACACTTGCTTCATTACATATGATAACTAGATTCAGTTGTGCCTTTTTTAGAGAAGGCTTGCTGAGCAGCAAGTGCACCTCTGTAAAGATCATATCTTTTTTATTTCCTTTAGTTTTAGACGGTGGACTAAAATAAGGAAGATACTGCTTTAAACCGAAGAGATGGCTCGTTTTGAAGATCATATTCCGTAGAGCACTCTGAGTTGTTTACAGTGCTGATTACCCCTGGAACAGTGAGAATGAAAAGCAGACACCATAGAATTGATGGGTTTTGAACTAAAGGGAATCTCTTCGACAAGAATATCCTGCTTGGTTCCTGACCAGGAGACCATAGTTTGCATGTGTGACTGTTACAGCAGACTGTAAAGAGAAAGCATCAAAACCTTTGTATGTGTGCCTCTCTCACATGTGTGGAGGTACCTGAAAGTCTCAGTAACAGCTAGCTGCCTTTCACTCGCATTTCCCTTCCATACAGAATTTACAGAAAGAATAAAATGCTTTTGAAGATAGTGAATGAAAGGGTATATTCTCAACAGTAAATGAAACACAGCATCGGTGTGCAAACAACTCATCTCATCAGCATATAAAAGGAATTGAAAGCAAGAAAGATAAAAACAACTCATCAAACCCTGTGGTCCAGTCTGGTCTATGAGCTATATTTCTCTGATTTTTTTTTCTTTTTCCACTCTTAATATACATGTATTGTTTGTCTTTCTGTGTCTGTCTGCGTTTGAACAATTGAACAAATGAAAAAGTACAGCACAGGAACAGGCCCTTCGGCCCTCCAAGCCTGTGCTGACCATCATGCCCTAATTAATCTAAAGACAAACCTGCCATTTTTTGATCCGTATCTCTCTATTCCCTCCCTATTCATGTACCCATCTAGGTGCCTCTTAAACGTCTTCAATGTGCCCGCTTCCACCACCTCTTCTGGTAGTGCAATCCTGGTAATTCTGATAGTGTGAAAAACTACCCTCACACATCTCCCTTAAACTTTCCCCCTCTGACCTTGAACTTGTTCCTCCTTGGAAAAACCTCTGACTATCTATGCCTCTCATAATTTTGTAGACCTCTATCAGGTCTCCTCTCAGCCGCCGTCTTTCCAGTGAAACCAATCCTAGTCTTTTTAACATTTCCTCATAGTCAATATCCTGGAGACCAGGCAACATCCTGGTGAACCTTTTCTGTACTCTCTCCAAAGCTTCTACATCCTTCTGGAAGGGAGGAATTTAAGAGATTAAGTAGTACTCTTACAAGTTAACAATTTGGTGTCTGTTAACTCAGCTGGCTGGATGGCTGGTTTTCAATGCAGAATGATATCAACAGCATGTGTTCAATTCCCTTACCGGGCTGAGGGAAGGGCTCTCCTTCTCAACCTCTCCCCTCCCCTATCAGTTTAAAACTACCATCACTAATTTAATGAGAGGGCAGCCCTATAGCTCGGTAAGGCTATTGCAACTTTACCTTTAACAATTCATATTTCCTGATTGCCATTGGCTAAAGACAGTTTGTTCACCATGAAGTTATTTGCTTGTTAGGTACAGAAACCAGAGTTTGTCAGTAAGGTAAATTGGGAACTTTTAATACTTTGACCATGTTTTCATGATTGTGACAACTCCAGGAATAGCAAGGCTTGATTTTCCAAACACCAACAAAGTGAGTTGTGACAATGTTGGGGGCACTTCAGCTGGGATTTTGGAACAAAGGCAATGCAAGATGGGTGTGAAACTGATAAGTTGTAAAGAGATAAAAAGAAAACATCAGGTTTTGAACTATCAAAAATAAAATGGTATTAGAAACTGTTAAAGCCTTCCTGCAAGTGGGAAAGCTGTTTCTGACAAACTCAAAAGAGATCTCAAAGTTTATTAAGTCAAGAAGCAAACTAGAAGTGAAATTGCTTGCCAAGGGTAAGAAGGCAGAAATAATTGAAGGACTAGTATAGTAATTGGGAATTAGAGAAATACAAGTGAGACATCAATTAATACTGAGTTAGGACAGTCTGAGATGGAAAAATAAATTCAAAAGCTGGAGATAGAATCGGAAAACAAAAAACGGGGAATGGAAATAGAACTTTAAAGATTAATGTTTAAGAAAAAGGCAGGAGAAAAGAAATTGAATAAGATGGAACTTGAGATGCAAAGAAGAAAGAGAAAGAAAAATAATTTAAACTCAGCTGATGTAGTTAAAACAAAAGCTGTCAGATGCTGATGCAGACTCTGATGTGAAGAATTTTAGCCATAATCTAAAGTTCAGTAAGAAAATGTTAGTTTTAAAATGTTAGTAAGAAAATGTAAGTTAGTACAGGCCCTACCAAAATTTGAAGAAAAAGCCCAAGTGAAGGCATTCTTTCT